ATGATAATCAACGGCGCCCTGTCTGCTGCATCGAGCAGGGTGGATAGCGGTTTGGATGCCACTGCTCAAGCCTTCCGCCTTCTTATTCCCATCGTTGCGTTTTTTCATCCTTAGCGTCCCGCTCCACCTTTACTTTTATCCCCAATTTTCAATCCCCAATTCTTGGCCCTCCCTCACCTTGCTTCAATAGTCGATTGTCTTCTAGTTTCAACTCACACACAGTCGTAGAACGTCGCTCCAATTCAGTCGACAAGTCCATATCCAGCCAAGCGGACAACGTCAGTTCATCCGTCTCCCACTGGAGTCTTAACGTCTCGCTCAAACTGACATGCCTCAACGTGCGCACGTTGCTACAGATTGGCCAGCAAGCAGCACTTGCCCGCACACTAGAGACCCTATCGATTGATGTTTGCTGTTTATCAGAAACCCGCCTGCAAGATTCGTACTCCGTGGTTACCCTGCGATCCCCCACATGCGACACTGGCGCCACATTCTCATTGCGCCTGTCTGGCGATGATGCAGCTTCAAATGCCGGTCAAGCTGGCGTCGGCATTGTTTTGAGTCCCCGGGCTGAAGCTGCCCCGATCGATTGGATCCCAGTCAACAGTCGGATGTGCGCCGTTAGATTAGCTGGTTCGTTCCATGCTACGAAGTCGCGCGGGGACAAACGGTGTCTGTTTGTCATTGCGGCCTACACCCCTACAAACTGTAGCACTGATTCCGTAAAAGATGATTTCTATCAGCAACTTCACGAGCTCCTTCGTTACAGAAGAAGCACGGATACTGTGGTGTTGGCTGGCGATCTAAACGCCCAAGTCGGAAAATTGTCCTCTGATGAGCTTCATCTGGGCGGCTAACATGGTGTAGGCTCCCGTAATGATAACGGTGAGCGGTTGCTACACCTGTGTGAAGGTGCTCGTCTCTTTCTCGCGAGCACAAACTTTCGACACAGCACCCGCAGAAGCGTGACTTGGCGGCCACCAGCCTCGGACCAGCCACGGACGCAAATCGATCATATCGCGATCAGTTACCGCTGGAGAGGCTGTGTCCAAAACTGTCGCTCGATTTGGAGCACGAGCGTGGACTCTGACGACGCACTTGTCTGCGCCGACCTCCGGGTGCGTTTCGGTGGACGTCCGCAACGTCGATGTGAACGGATTGACACCAGCCAGCTGGCGAAGCCAGGTGTTCTGAATGTGTATCAAAGTGCGCTGACATCCGGGCTGAGTAAGCGTCCACTGAACACCGTCGAAGATCACTGGTCGCATATTCGTCAAACGTTACTATCAGCAGGCATGTCTTCATGTGGCAAATCAAATTGCCAAACTAGACATTGGGTCTCTACAAAGTCTCTGGAACTTATGGATGCTCACCGACATATTCCGGCTGGAAGCGAATACAATGAGGCTCGCAAAAATCTCAGGGCAAAACTGCGTGCTAGCCTGAAGAAAGACCGCGAAGCCTGGTGGTCTCATCGTGCTTCGGAAATGGAAACAGCCGCTACCGTTGGTAATCATCATAAGTTATTCCGTCTGATACGGGAAACAGGCAGCAGGAGACCTGGTGTTAGCGAGACCATACGCAACGAGAATGGGCAGCCGATCCACAGCCTGTCGAAACGCTTGGAGCGTTGGGTCGAACACTTTGTAAGGCAGTTTAACCAACCTGAGTTATCGCTTTCTCTTTCGGACATCGAGCGCCCTTCTCCATATGCCGTCTGCTTTGATCCGCCCTCACGTGCAGAAGTCGAACGTGAGATCAGGCTGTTGAAATTTCATAAGGTCGTAGGGGCTGATAGAATTGTCCCAGCTCTCTACAAATTCGTGGGACCTGCTCTAGTCGATCGTTTGCACGAATTGCTGGTGGAACTTTGAGAGCAGGAGACTGTCCCGACAGACCAGAGCCGCTTCGTCATTGTCCCAATTTTCAAGGGTGGCTTCCGTTCGGAATGCGGCAATCATAGAGGAATCAGTCTGATCTCAATTGCCTCTAAATTGCTTGCATCTGTCATTCTCCACAGACTGACTGGTACCTGTAAAAGCCAGATTCGTGAAGAGCAAGCCGGGTTTCGTATACTTCGGGGCTGCATCGACCACAACTTCACCTTGCGTCAATTGTTGGAGCCCCACCATGTTTATTGGCGACCCACCGTTGTCGTGTTTCTCGACATAAAGGTGCCTTCGATTCGGTTGCTCGATATGCCCTTTGGGACTGTCTGCTGAGGAAATGTGTGCCTAATAACTACGTAAACATTATCAAAGCGCTGTACGCGCATAGTTCGGGCAGAGTGAGGGTTTATGACAAACTGTCGCCACCCTTCAGTATCACCAGCGGTGTGAGACAAGGTTGCTCGTTGTCACCTTTCCTGTTTAACTTCCCATTTGACGAGGTCATGGAATCAACATTCGCTGGACACGACCTAGTAGGTGTGGAGCTACTTCCTGGTGAGCAACTTCTTGACTTGGAGTATGCGGACGATATTGCCCTAATCTGTGACAGCTTCCAAACATGCCAAGCAGCACTGGACCGATCAGCACTGGCTGTCTATCGTTTTGGGCTATGCTTTGCTCCATCGAAATGCAAAGTACTTTTCCAAGATTAGCATGGACCCACCACTGCGCTGACCCTTGGTGGTGATCTGCTAGAAGTCGCTCAGGAACTCAAGTACCTGGGCAGCTATATTAGCTCCCGTGGGATCGAAGATGAGGTTACGAACCGTATAGCAAAAGCTCGAAGTGATTTTGCCAATCTGCGCCACCTGTGGCGCAGACGCGACATTACTCTCGCCCTGAAGGGCAGATTTTATAACACAGCCGTCCGTTCAACTCTCCTATATGGTTGTGAAACCATGCCCATTAGGTCGATAGACATGAAGTGGCTCGTCACATTCGATCATCGCTGCCTTCGCAGCTTAGCTCATGTCTGGTGAGAGCACCACGTGAGCAATGAGCGTGTTCAACATCGCGTATTTGGTGCAGGAAGAGCGAATGAACCGCTCAGCACCATTATATCACGCACCAGGCTCCGATGGCTGGGCCACGTGTTGCGCATGCCAGCACACCAACTCCCGCGACGTGCATTGTTTGCGCGTTGTGGGTGTGGTTGTAAGAGGATGAGGGGAGGCCAAGTGATGACTTGGTCGAGAGAAATGAAAATTCTCACTTCGAAGTTGGCGTCGGTTGGTGCATCCCGACTGTCTGGCTGGGGTCCTAAGGACAGTGAACACGTTTGGTTGGACACGCTTACTGATATGGCTAGGAGCCGACCCCAATGGCGTTTGTGTTGTGAGTTCCTTTGTCCATCCCCCTCCTGCTTAGCCTCCCCTCCAATCACGATCTCAATCGTTAGGCATAATATGACTCTTTTGCGGCAGGATTGCCGGCTGTGTTAACTCTCCTTAACCATGTCCATTCGTTACTGGGGACTCAGCCGGCGTGCCACTGCTTTTTTGTTTGTTTTTCTTGTCTTTTGTATTGTGGCACAATAGCTGATGTGTTTTCCACCTGCTGCTAACGTGTATAATGAATGAATGAAGTTACGCGGAAAACGTGCGGATAATTTGCTGAGAAGCATCTGACCAAGAGCGGAGTTAGCTTAGTTTTTGCGTATGCAGGACTGACTGATTGACTCAGTGTCAGTCAAAGTATCTATAACTTCCGGGTTCGTATGGTAAATCGATCAGGCAGCGGTGCTCCGCGTCATCTAGCAAATCAAAGTATTGCACGAAGTCAAGGCCAGGAATTGGCACCCGAACACCTGCAACGAGGAAAATCCATTTGAAGGGACGTCGTAAGCTTAAATTAAACATACATGTGGATGGTGGTACCGTTGGTTGAGCCCAATGAGCCAATCACCTTGTTAGGGTTTTCTGTGAAGGTTCATCGCAGTTAGACACAGGCAGACAGCCACCACACATCTAGGGAAGCGCTTCCACAACATCCCAAACCCTCCCTACTACTTACAAACCCGTTTCGGGACTCTTTATTGCTAGGAAGGACGCTAACTTGAACACTCGTGTCCACCAAGTAGTGAACTCCTGTTTGTCGATCGGTTAGGAAGAAAATGCGACTGGCGACCAGCAACATCCGTCGCCACTACGTGCTGGTCGACCCGTTTCCCAGTGACTTGCCATAGAAAGCACGGGGTGAACCACAGTATCTGGTTATTTCACCAAATCTGTGATACCAGCAGTGGGTGGTACGTGAAGTGACGTAGTAACTACTATTGGTGCCCGGAGCGGTAGTAAAATTTCCCCGCTGACTGACATCAAAATAGACGCGTGAAGGCCACACCATTGGCTCAGGATAAAGTGCACACTATTCTTCGGTGAAATGGATGCTAGTTTGAGACATTGTGGTGAAGGTGACGAAATTGACCATAATGGGACAAGCAAGGGGCTCGCTGTAAAGAACATTTGCACAGCTGTGACACACGGCAGAAAGGTGTTGTTGGCAATACACAGTATAGCATTAAGATATTCAACCCTCTGCTTATCTGAAAATTGCCCTTTATATTTGGTGTCGAACAATCAACGGTACCAAAACTACCGCCCCCTGTCACATGCCTACCGGGGCGGACTGCCTCGCCTTGCTACGCTTTTGTGTAAGTGGCTTCGCTGGGATCTCGAGAAAGACTTGGAAGGTGACGAACGGAATCGGCTCCAAAAGATGTTCTTTGCAGCGTTCCCTGATGCTACTATTTCGCCGATTCGTTTATTTAGAGTAGCAACGGTCGATGCCAGCAGCGTAATGTTGTCTTCCTGCGTTGACTGGATGTGCGTGATTCGATTGTAAGATTTCCAGATAGGGTTAGCTTTGTCGACTGGTTGAGATATAGACTCCTCAGCACTATCGTATAGTGTGTTGCACATTTCTCGTGGAAGGCGGCGAAGCCACATTTTTTGACTTGGTTAGACTCTGAATCTTCCGGAATAGCTTATATGGTTTCAACTCACCTTGCTCGGTGGCATTACTAATCAGTCGTTTATTTTTCACTTTTAGGCTTCTGAGCACAGTCTCGGTGTGCTCTGGTACACAGACGCGGGGTTAGTTTGGACGCTTTTATCGGAACAGTTTCCTCCTGACTATACGACTTCACGATTCAGAGTTCCACCCTCTCCGGAATTGTTCCCACTGAAGGTGAGTGGCAACTTTCTAGTTCACAACTGAATCTGTTCTCTAGATGCAACTGCCTTCGGAACATAACAGGCTGCGCATTAATCCGGATCGCTTGGGAGACATTTTGAGCCGTCTTTGCCCATATATTTCTATCAAGACCCCCGACGTTTGATACAGATACTGCTCAACCCAGTGGAACGGTCTTCTGCAAACATCGTTCTGTAAATACTTTATCTAACGTAGTTCTTTTGTCCATCTCTGGTTTTCTTTTCTCCGCGGAACGAAGCAGCTCCTGCCACCTTAGTTTCTCACTGTCTCTGCCTAATAACTTGATCACTGAACTAAGGGCATTTAGCCGTCTGTTTCGAATTCACTCTTTGAAATATATCTGGCCACTGATCTTCAAAGTTCTGCAGTTGCTTCAGTGTGCATCCCATCGGTTCGAGTGAGGCCAATCCTACTCGGTAGTCAACTGAGTTGTAAGCGGTCACGTAGCTAACTAAGAGAGTTGCAATCAAACGCGATTTAGAGCGATGTGGTTGATCAGTTCTCGGTATACTTGTGTATGTGGCTCGGGTGTATTCACGGACGCGGAAATACACGCTGTAAATGTTTATGAACGTACTAGTTCTAGTTGCTATAATATACCAGTGAATAAGAGTCTACAATATGTATGACGTTGAATATGTTCTGAAGGGCAGCAAATAGGGCTGGAGTCGAAAGTTTTCATGAATGTGGTGGGGTGCTTCAGATTGGACCAGTAGACTCAGGACAAGCGTGGACTGAAACAGCGACATGTCTGTGGGACAATGCTTTTCTGACACCCCGCAAAAACCTTTCCTGTATTTTCTTGCTTGGTATTTCTCCCGCTTCGGGATCCAGCAAGCCGACTAACTTCCCGTCGTAAATTTCGTGCCACTGCGCATTCCGGGCTGCCAACTGCATCCGAGAGAATCGACTCTGTTGTCTTCTAACTGATTTTGACATTAGCACGTCAACGACAAGTTGCTAGCTAAACTCATGAAAAACGGCACGGGCAACCCGTGATGCAGGTAGAGTGCTTGACTACTTTCTTAGCGCGGTTGCTTAAAGGTAGAAGGATTGATCACAAAATCAGCCTTAGGGTTTGGTCTCGACGAGGACATCCATCTCAACATAAACCAGCTGTTTGACATACATGCTGTATTACGGTAATGCATTCAATTCTGATATGTTATATCGTGGTTGGGTGTTCAGCGACTTCCAAAAAACCAACCACTAGAGCTGTTCGGCGGAGATCAAGTGGAATGCACAAGCAAGCCTACAGAAAAATCACTAGAGTTGACATGTTGCCGTCGGAAGTCTGAAAACATTCATTTTGCCGTTAAACAAGCTGTAAACACGTCATTGGCAACGGAAAAAGTTCACCCCATTTTGAACCTTCCTCAGTAACCACAAACTGATGCAATCCTTCGAGTAAATCCAGACGGTATTCCGCACTTGGGTTTGCACACATCACCAGTCTCTCCTTTCAGGTCTTCAGAGCACCAAACACCCTTTAGGCAGCCGCACCAAGCCCTCGATTCCACACGACACTTCAAGTACATGCCTGGTGGTCTCGGCTACGCTTTCGAATTAAATGGTTGTAACTGTATCGCTGGACACGGTCAGGTGCGGTGTGTGTGCCATCTGCATTCACGCCGATTATATCTACAAAGCCGATCAAGATTTGGCGGCGTCCGTATCCGGATTTACCTGTCACTGTGACCTCCATGGGTACAGCCATAGGACGCCTGCGCCTACAGAAGGACCATGGGTGGCTTGCGCTGCACCACCCACAGCTCCACGCACACACCCCATATCCGGTGTAAACTCGAAGGAATAAGACCGGGAGGCATGTGGATGGGAGCCACGTTTCATCAGCGGAGCCGGCCCACACTCCTTCAGCAAGCAGAACAGAAGCATTCCGGTCTAATTGGGAAATCATGCACACCAGATGTACACATGGCGGTGGCTGGACCGTAGCCCGTTCCACACAGAATGGAACCATTCTTTGAGCATTGCACCGTCACACGGATGGTACACCCCATTCCCTCCAGCAACGACCAACTGTCTCCTGGAAACAGTATGGACGAGGTAGTGGGTAATAGACAGGTAAACATCTTGTCAACATTTACATCAGGCGCAGCCACACCGGGGAGCTCAAACAGCATCTACTTCTGAAATGCAAGATTACTTATCACGCAGGTAAACGTACCACATACGCCGCCTTATTGGTCTGGATCAGTAAATCAAATGAGAGCGTACGCATCGTGCTTTTGTACCGTGTGCAATAGTGCCTTCTCCTACACCTGAGCAACCTCCCTTTTTAGTAGTCCACGGAATTCGCATCGATCAAATTTGTCTTGGATTCGCAACACCTGAAATCAACATGAGTTTGTCACAAACTCACCTTCTCCGTGTTCTGGTAATGTTATTTTCCGTTTGCCCGAGTGCCGCTTCCCTGCACTAAGTTGGCCGTACAAAAGCGGTATGAATATCCTCGTCGAATTAATTGAATATGCATATATACATGGATTGGCGTCATCCGTGTCCAATGGCAGTTCGAATACAACAAATGCACATGAGTTTATCCAAACTTAAGGGTGATTTATGAAAAACTGGGCAGAGACACATTAAACCTCATGAACAATTGTACTACAGCGTGTATGAATTTCCTTTGGATGTCAGGCTAACACGCATGGGAATAAATACCCAATACGTACTGTTGGTGTTTGTCTCTTGTGGCCTCGTTGTCACGACAACTACCACAGTACTATATCAACTAAGTCCCGCTGCTCACTGTCAAACATGCAGTATTCCAAACATGATTCGCACTATGTTGCAAATGTCCAAGACGTAGTATGGCTGTCATCCAAGTACTCATCCGTTTGTACATACCGTTGTGTATCCTGCTGTGTCCATAATGTTTTTGCTTACGATCTACATCGTGGGCCTTGGGTGCAGCTATTCGGTGCTCCTAAAATGAGCAATATTCGCTATGCGCCGCTTCCTTTCCGATGTAACTGACTGAGACGCTGACGTACCATTCCCGTTGGCATTGCCTTTTTCTTAGTCCGCCCAGAAGATTGACCCTGTCTAATACAATTTTTAATAGGTACCTCTTACACAGGTGCAACAATGCTACTGCATTGCACTAAGTCCGTAGTTAATCATTCTAGCTAGGAACTGTACTCAAGCGATACTTGCATTAGCGATGGAATAAGGATGGCACAGGGAAATCGTGCGCTGGAGTCAACTGATTTTCATAGGCTCAGCTAAGTTAAGGTTTCAAATGAAGAACGGGAATTACAGCTCTAATCATTCTAACAGATTTAATGTGAAACATAGCATGCTTGACACATCAACATCAGCACGTTAATCGCTAGTCAGTTGCTTGCCGGGACTGTTCACTTTCCACGGGTGTTCCGGAGCGATTTATCTTTGAATACATGATCCAACTTGAACATGTCCATCAGATTGCAGATTTGCCACCAAACCGAGGAAGCATTGCTTTTGCATACTGTAATAGGTAACGTGTTTGGAGGCTATGGTAATGATAAGATACGGTAAAATAAAGTAACATGAGGTAAGTTAGTGTAACCCAACTGCGATGAAGAAGCATGGTATGTGTAACATCAAAACTCAACGTAGGGGCACTCGTATGTGGGCATCTGTGTTCGAATTACCAGTAGGGTAAATACAGTCCGCCTGCGTTTTTGCAGAACAATGGGTGGTTGTCGCTGCGCTGCAACACTCGACAAATTAGTGCAGTACCAGGGCAAAAGTCCTCCCGTGCAATGTTGCTAGCGAACGGGGATTCCGTTCTGACTCACCTCGCTCTATGACGTTTGGCCGGTTTAACGTGTACCGTCCCTTCTCATTTGCGTACCACCAAGGGCCACATGTCAATCCGTGGTGCTCGATCTAACAGTCTATCTGTTCGTCATAGCCCCATCGTGGCCTCCTTGATGACTGGCCAGACCGGCTGGGCTAAAGCACATACGGCCCCATGCATTACAGCTCTATGTGGGAGTAGCTGAAGGATTGCAGTCTGCCGGCAGCTGATGTTCACGTGCCGCACGTTTAATTTCCCTATGCACCAGCTGTATTTCCTGCCCTATGGCAACGGTACACGTGGTGAGATCACGCCATGTGCGGCGATTCGTTGCCATCTCCTATGAAACACTTAGGTCAATACTTACTCAGGAAAACTAATCTTGATATTGTCTTGGTAGCGCAACTTTGGCTTGCCTGCATTCCGGTCGCCTGCGCTCAGTTGCCCGTGTATGTATGTATGTAATCTCAGCAGTCTAGCAACTAGACACAGAGCCAGTAGAAAACCATGGAGATCAGCGGATAAGAGACAGTCATTGCGTCATAATCATCGTGGCATAGTAGTTGAAGGTGAACAACACACTTCAGCTAATATGCCACAGGAAGAAAGGAACATTTCGACAAAAAGTAGAACAAAACATTTTTAGTTTGTTTTTCACATGCCAATTTTTCTCTTTTTTGTTATTTTCAATGTTTGAAGGATTAAACATGTGAATCAACACAATACTGTACACAATTCTTCCACTGATTCCGGTTGAGGGCTGTCTTCAAGAGTGTTAAGCCATTGACACTCCTCGCCTCTGGGTCCCCATCCTGGAAGATGTACGGACCCAAAAACGGCTAGACATCATCATCATCAACAGCAGTACATCAGTCATTTGAACTGATGCTTCGCTGCCATACAACCATGAGGACCTATGAAATAAAGAATAAGAAGAGGGAGAGAAGGGAGACTTATCTGAAAACCTTAATGCCCTAAGCAAACATTCAGGGTCAAGGCGCCTACACCTTGTGTAGACAACATACCGTCACAAACAGCTGGCTATCGTGCAAAGATAAGGCGGTATCGGCGAGACAGCTTCCTTGCGGCTTTCACTGCCCCGCGTCATAATCAGCCAATACCCCGCAGATAACTCAGCACCAAACACACTTTAAACAGACAATCCGATTAGGAGAAGGCAGCAGACGCGCCACTGGTGTCGGTTGCGAGCCATGTCCTGTAAAGTCTCGAGCCAAGCACAAGGTGAGTCACGTGGACTCCAACCCGGAAGGCGAGACGGACCAACGGCACCCAGTTTGGTCGTCAGTGAC